GGTTGCAGCCATCATTGTTATTTGGCGGGCCTGGGCTGGATTCGAACCCGCCACCTTAGGTGTATATGGCTGGTGCCTTAGCCATTTCAGCCACAGGTCCCAAGTCTGCCTCAGTTTTCTTATCTGTAAAATGTAAAGATCAAAAAAGATGCTTTCTAAGGGTCATTGCACAGAAGCTCAATAACAACCACAGTAATCATTTGGGGAGCACCCAGGAATGTACTGGACCACTACTCTGTTCAAAAACTGCAATGGGCAACTTTATCCCAATTTTAAAGATAAGAAACCTGAGGCTCAAAGAGATGGACATTTTCCCGAGGCTACACAGTTATGTGTCTGAGCTAGGACTTCAAACCAGTCAGATCTGCCTCCACAATCTATGCTCTCCGGTTGTCCAACACATCCTGCAAGTCAGCACCTAGACGACAATGGCCAGTCCAGACCTAGGCACCAGGGAGGCCTCAGGCTGAGTCGGCAGGCTCTCTGTGATAGAAATAAGGCTAGTTCCCTCTAAAATCAGCCGTAACCACCACAAACACAGGCTTGTACCTCTGTAAACATAGCAACCAAGGACACACCCTCTGGGTACTTCCCTAGTCATCCCTGCCAGGTGTGTTCTGTACAAATGTAGGGATCATTTACATGTGCAATCACCGAGGGGCCCTCAGCGGGCGTGGTGCTGTCATATGCTTCGCTGAACTAAGGCAAAAACACCAATCTGTGTTTCCCAGGGGAGAATGAGAAAGCCAAGCTGTCTGGTTCAGCCGGCGCCCCTCAGCTCAAACAACTCCCTTGCTAATTTCTCATTCTGCCCTTCCAATAATAATAATGATGTCTTCCATTTGCGTGACTTGTCTACCCCATTTTTCATGCTACAAATCGGTAAAGATGTTACTACAGTGCACACAATCATCTCCTTTTTCTAAGTGACGATGCGGAATCCAGAGAAAAGAAATAACCAAAGCAGGATGTGACGGAGCTGGGACTGGAACCCAGGTCATCTAACTTTTGGGTCACCTTCCTGCACTGCACATCTCCAGAGGAGGAAGAAGGAGGCAATCTCGATCGCAAAGAACAAACCCAGGCACCACAGGCCCTGGCTAAACACCCGACTGTGGGATGGTTCCCTTCCTCCACCTATACAACTTTTCATTTTAAAGATCTTTCTAGGTACGTGCAGAAAACCAGCAAAGGCACCCAAAGGCAGAATTCTCTCCATCCCAGCTCCCCACCCCCATACATTTGGCCTCCTGTATCCACGGGTTTCGCCTCTACCGATTCAAACAACTGGGGATGAAAAAATACCAGGAAAAAATAACAATACGACAATAGAAAGTAATATGAATTTTAAAGTACAGTATGATGACTATATAGCATTTACATTGTATCAGGTATTATTATAAGTAATCTAGAGATTTAAAATATATGGGGAGCTGCACGTTGATGATATGTAAATACTATGCCCTTTTTGTAGAAGGGACTTCAGCATTGTGAATTTTTATATCCATAACAGGTCCTGAAACCAACCCTCCCCCAAATACCAGGAGATAAACACTGATTCATCTGTACTTATTCTGCTCAGACATCGAATCTTAACTAAATAATGGAAATTAGGTAAAGCCAGAGGTCACAAATTCTCAAAATTTTACCAGTTCCCATCTAGGAGAGTCTACTTAAAATTATATTTATTTCATGGAGTTGGTTTGAAAAGAACCATTGTATCTAACAGTTTGAGGTCTTTCAGTATTTGCAACTTAAAACACACTGAAAGAATACAGGAAGGAGACCATACCAGGCAGCCCACAGAGAGGAGCATGTGAAGCAAGACGATTGTCACCACCGTGGCCAACGCGATGCGCCGGCTATCCTCACGGACCGCCGGCCAGAATGTCATTGCCAGAACAGATCCTGAGATGCCCAGGGCGATCGTGACGAGGATCCAACGGACAGCTTTCTGTGGGATAATCCACAGGATCTGAAAGAAGAGAAAAGGAGGGAGGGAGGGCTCTTTGGAGGCATTTCAGAGAGGCATTTGTTCATTCTAGGCACAAATGTTTACAAAGGCCCCTGAGCCAATCAGCAGCTGGGCCCCAACTGAAAAAACGCTGGCTTTTCAGTACAGGCTGGAGGAACCGCACCAGCACCTAGACCAGCGAATGCTTTCATAATGAAGGGCTCAAGATCCAGGGACGGCGCTGGGCTCCCCAGGCCCCGTTCATGCTGAACTTCTAAATTCAAAGGGGATTTTTCAGGAGCACATGAGGGTTGGGCTGGAAACATTACTGCTTGATCAAATTCATGGTTGAATTTTCAACTAAGATCAGAGCATCCCTCAGAATCTGCTCCACAAGGGCGGCACTTACCGCCGTGGGGATGTAAATGAAGAGTGAATATCCATAGACGCACACAATCTCCAGAAACGAATAGGACACGATGTTCATAACTTTGCTGTTTCTCCACATGAGGAAACCCCAGAGTGCGAGAGGAACCAGCCAGGCATAGGCGTAGATGATGGTTGCGGCTATGGACACTAAGGATGGCAGGACACGAGCTTCAGTCTCCACCGTGCCTTAACAGACCAGCACAGCACTTCCAGGCCCTTACTGTATGGATTCCCCAACACGTCCACATACTTTAATGAACCAGGAATACTGACCTGTATTTCCTGAGCCTGGCACAGCCCCTGACACACAGGAAGCACTCTGCAAACGTTACCGAATTAATGCATCTTTAGCCTTTGCCTTTGTGGTAAAGACCAGTAGTCTCTCACATGGTTTTTACAATTCCTTTAATAATTTGAACTCCTGCCCTCAAGCGACCCTCTCACCTTGGCCTGTCAGAGTGCTGGGATTACAGGTGTGAGTCACAGTGCCCTGCTATAACTAAGGCCTGGTACCACTAAACAACTGAATCATGCAACTGAAATACTTTAGAGGGCGCCACTGCAAGCGTTTAAATCTACTGAGCAGATCAAATAAAAACCAAACTATACCTTGGAAGAACATGTCCTCTTCCCGTATAGAAAGAGCAAATCTATTAAAATGCTCTGGGTACAGATTAACTCGCTCAGCATGCTAATTAGAGCTCCTTCTGCCCCGGACATAGGAGGTTCCTGCTCACTGATGAATTGCTTGAAATATTCTCCACTTTTACTTTCTTCCTGAAATAATAATTCTGCCTCCATGGTGGAAATGCTATTTGGTGGCTCCATAGAAACAGCAATGTTTAGCACTTCCCTGATTTGTTTTCCCTCTTGTGAAGCAGATGATAATAAAGTTATGGCTAAGCCAGGTGTGGTGACTCACGCCTGTAATCCTAGCACTCTGGGAGGCCAAGGCAGGAGGACTGCCAAGAGTGAGAATCCATCTCTACAAAAAAATTTTTAAAACCCTGATGGATGGCCGGGCACGGTGGCTCACGCCTGTAATCCTAGTACTCTGAGAGGCCAAGGCAGGTGGATTGCTTGAGCTCACGAGTTAGAGACTAGCCTGAGCAAAAAGTGAGACCCTGTTTCTACTAAAAATAGAAAAACTAAAGCAAGAGGATCACTTGAGCCCAAGTTGGAGGTTGCTGTGAGCTATGACACCACAGCCCTTTATCCAGGGCAACAACTTGAGTCTCTGTCTGGTGGGTGCCTGTAGTCCCAGCTACTTGGGAGGCTGAGGCAGGAGGATCACTGAAGCACAGGAGACTGAGGTTACAGTGTACTATGATGACATCACTGCACTCTACTCAGGGTGACAGAGACTCTGTCTCAACAAAACAAATAAACAAACAAACAAACAAACAAAGTTATGGCTAAGACCATGACACCAGCCCTTTCTACATAAAAACCAGCAGGTAATTAATTTACTTATATGCATTTTGGCAAGAGCAAAAGCATCCCTGGGAATTACAGTCAGACTCTGGTTAAGCCATGTGATCATCTAAAACATTTTTAGCTCCCAAAGTGGCTTTTTCACACTGGAAACTCCTTCATTAAGCCAATGTAATTCTGCTGATATACTACCTTTTTCTTGGACAACTACGGGAAGAGGAGAGGTAACTACTATGGCTATAGCTGCCACTTAGTCATCACCTCCTGGGCGTCAGGCATTACAAGGAGGGCTTTACCGAGAGGCAACGTAGTATAAACTGTCAAGGGCACAGATTCTGTACATAAACTCCATGGGTTCTAAGGTCAGACAAAGTAACCCTGGCTGGTAAGTTACTTAACCTTCCTGCTTCAGTTTCTTCATCTGAAAATTTATATTACCTTTATAAGATTATCAGGAGAATTAAATGAATAAAAATAGGCAAGAACTGTTCTAAATAGAACTGGGATTGATATACAATAAATGTCCAATAAAGAATTAGCTTTTTATATAGTTAACATGCAGATACATTATTTCATATAATCTGTATTTTCATTTTATTTTAAATTTCTTTTATTTTTTAGAGACACAGGGTATTACTCTGTCTCCCAGGCTGGAGTGCAGTGAGCATGGCTCACTAAAGACTCAAAACTGCTGGGCTCAAGCAATCCTGCCTCAACCTCCCAAGTAGCTAGGACTATAAACTATGGGTACGGAGAGCTGGAGTCTTGCTATGTTGCCCAGGCTCGTCTTGAACTCCTTGCCTCATGCCATCCTTCTACCTTGACCTCCCAATGCACTGGGATTACATGCATGAACCACCACAATCAGCCTGTCTTCATTTCAGAGATGAGGAAATGGATCAGAGAAACTAAGTTATTTGGTCAAAGTAACATAATTAACAAGTGGGTGGGAGCAGGATCTGATGCCTGATGTGACTCATGCCCTTCAAATGAAATGGAAACGTGTTTATTGATAGGGCCAGTGATTATCTTACTGGTACCTACATCACATCACTCCCTGACACTGGGATGCCCAGCTAAAGAGGATGGGAACAGATAAAGCTCAGAGAAGAGCTTCCAGATCCCTAGGCAAGGTGGGTCACTCCTTCTCCATCAATGTACCAAGACATACCTCTAATATACAGTTAACACATACTTTTTATTCATTTACCTAGCTTCCTTAATCACTGAATTACTTGAAGGCAGCATTTCTATCTCATGGATAACATTTATTGAGTTAGACTTAAATCAAGGCTACTTAATAAGAGTTGAGACTGAATCCAGGTCTGACTCCCTGGTGGAGAAGGAAAGGGGGGGAAGTGGCCGTGAAAGGCAGAGGGGAAGAAAAGAAGGAAGGACCCCTGGACCCTCAGATGCTGTCACACAGGAAATACACATCTCCCTATATGGACACATGGACCCTCAGGTGCCGACACACAGGAAATACACATCTCCCTATATGGACACATGGACCCTCAGGTGCCGACACACAGGAAATACACATCTCCCTATATGGACACGTGGACCCTCAGGTGCCG